ATTATAAGTAAAATTATATGCTATATAAAATTTTAGATATTAAGTTTTTATATGATACCATGTATAGTTTTGATTTATATAGTATATTGCGCACCCCAATATCTCATGCCGAATTAAATAATTATAATTATTTGAGCAAATATTTTGGGATTTTGACAAATATTTGGAATTTGGGGGTTTTGGCAATATTTGGGATTTTGGTATTTTGGCAAATGCCCTAATCTCATTCCCAAATCGCTGTAATGCCATTATTTGCCGAAATAGTTTAGGTCTCAACACTAATAGAAGTTGTGCAAATACAATTCAACTTGCTTTTCTATTGATTTTAGAATTTAAATAGACATAGAATTGAAATAAAAATTTGTATTTATAATATTTTAATGAAATTTTACTATTGGCGAATTTGATAAATTTTTAACTTGACCAAATTACCTCCCTCTACCTTGCATATTCTAAAATATCTGGTTTCTATGTATATATAGTATGCTTATCAAGTTGATCAAATAAATAAATAAATAAATATATATATATATATCTGATATATATATATATATATATATATATACAGTATATATATAAATGGACATAGTACTTTCAGGCATAGTAAGATTTCAGACATATCGCTGTGAGACCATATGCAATCAATTTTTTAAAAAAATGTCAAGATCTCCTCTATAACATCATCGGTAAAAGATTAATTTGGACCATATAGCCGGAGGCTACTGCAAAGTCATTTTGTGGCACGAAATGATTTTAAATAGCAGTCTCGAAGATTAAAGCTATTATTATTCTCGTCTTTTAATGTCATAATCATTATACTGTGTCTACTGTGTCTACTGTGTCTGCTGTGTCTGCTGTGTCTCACGACTCCAAATCTTGGAGCAAAGCTCACGAAATAATAAATATATGATATCGCTTATAATAACGATAAACTTTAGGATGCAATTCTCTACATTTGACACAATTGACACAGGCAGTTACAATAATTATAATTCCTAATGGTACAATTACGAAACCAGTTTGCGCTAGTCTGTAACTCAACAGAACTTCGAGATAAATGCGTTTGTGACTTCCGAATAAACATAAGGGGATGCGAAGGAGAAAATCTAATTCAAGACGCAAGCCTAATACTTGTACCCTACTTGCTCGTTACATCTTTAATATCCGCAACATTTATTTTTAATCAAGTAATTATAAAACGTAAATCGGTATTTTATCCTTCATCAAGAGAACGATGCTTTAAATGGATGAAGCCCGAAGATGCTTTTAACACTGTCGTGTGCGTTTATCATCTGACAGAGGCTGCTTGTTTATTATTGTTAATTAACGACAGTTATCCAAATTCGATATATGCAGAAGTATATATTTTTTATCATATAAATATACACATAAATATACATATATACATATATATATATATATATATATTCTTACGTATTAATTTCTTTATATTGGTAGTTTTTTTGCTATCTTTCGAGGCTTATTGGTTATTCTTTAGCAGTGATTGTTCCAATTAGTTTAAGTAAGTTCAATAATATGATTAAATAACGCCGTTTAAACACCCGGATATTGTATTTACCAAACAGCCGCTTTCCTTTGCAGTACATTCGACGCCTGAGTCTCAATTGTATGCTATGAACTCTCGATGGAAGCCAAATAATTATCTTGATATTTTTGCACTCTGGTTAATGATCACACCATTTATAACGAATATACCATTGTCATTACTGACAGGCTATTATGCTGACAAGAACGAAGTCTCAATCGCGTCACGTATGTTAATGATAAATTCCATGGCTTGGTGTTTGTGGACTCTGCAATTCGTGGTTATTTTATTATATGCTTACTACAACTTGGTCTTTAACATGCGGGGCTATGTCGACCGAATGCGACGAAGGCACACTGATGAACGCAGAGTGCAGAAACTACAAATTACCAGAAAAATCGTAAGGTCATTTCTATTTAATGCCACTATTTGTTTTTAATCACACGCTAAGGTCGAATTTTTATGTTAGCTTTCGTGGATTGTAAAATGTGGTGCGATCATATTCGCAATTCACTTTATGGAAACATTATCCTTTGGTCTCTTTTACAGATCCGTGATCATATACAAGAAAAATTTAAACATGTTATACTTCTTCCTTTGGCATTTTTTCATACCCATATTTGTGAACATTGTGCAATTGATATATATTTATTAGTATGTTTTATTTATTTATTTGTTTGTTTATTTTATACTGTATGATTATTATAACTTTTATTTCTATTATTCTTATTCGTTTATTTTTTTGAGATGCATATTTTCGAATATTAATCACATTAATCAATATTCTTAGTTACGTGAAACAACATATTTCTTTTGGAAAAAAATCACGACGTTCCTCTCCTGGCCGAAATAGAAATCAAATTTCTACCGAACCAACTTATGTAATAGAATCCGTAGAATTGAATCAAATGACGAATGATCATGAAAATGCTCGCACACCAATCGTTGAAGCTATAAAACGCTTAACATCCTCCTCAAAAAATGGCACTGCTTGTTTAGCATCTATAGGCGGAACAACACTTGTATCTGAACAATTTGGATCTATAGATCAAACGTTCATAAAATCTGATAATAGTTCAAATTTACAAGATATTAGAGACAGTTATGCACAAGATAATAGAAGTGATTTATCTAGTAGTGTAATGAGGGCTTGGTTGGTAAAGAAACCGTTAAGATGCGATATAGCTAAAAGTTCACGAATGTAGTTAAAAGTTCACGTGACAATATGTAATAATATTTCATGAATCTTAAAAATCTTAATTTTATTGCATAAATAATCTCTCTTTTACATTTGATTATATTTGATCATAATCTCTTATATGCCATATGCCATAACATATTTAATATATATATAGTTTTTATTTTTTTTACTGTATTTATTTTTTTTTTTACTTTTTATTCTTTAACCACGTGCGTAAGTAATTCCTTTTTCACTGAGCATGCCAGCTTTTAATATGGCTCTTTTTATAATATTGCCATTTTGGAATTCCGATGTATTTTCCATCAAACATCGGATGACCCTTAATTCGTGCCTATGGACCGCGTGTCCAAGAGGATTATAGCCGTTACAATCTTCGGCACCGTGTTGGAGAAGTTTTTTTTAAAGTAGGAATTATAAATTCCTCGTGCTTAAGTTCCATAATGAAGTGTAACGAAGTCCAACCTTCGTTATCTCTCTCATTTACATTAAACTTCATGCTATAAAGAAACCAATCAACTAGAGCAGGGAATTCGGTTGCGTATTGTTTGTCTCTTTTCATCAATCGGTTGCAAGCTTCGAGGAAAACTGTCCGACCTTCATGTTGGTCCTTAATATCAAGTCGGAATTTAAATTGCTCCAATAGGCTTAGTACTACTATGATCTTTTTTACCGGCAACTCTTGTACAGCTATTAAAGGTAACTGCAAAGCGAGTTTGATAGAAATAGAGGTTATGGGTTTCACACTCCATGCATAGGTGGTGTAAAAGCCCTTGTATATCACCATCATAGCAATGGAACCCTGCTGAACTATGTTCAGGGCAGAGTCCATAGTTGTGCAAACAAGTTGGAGTTACCACCAGCGGGAATGCGAGTGTTCATAATTCATCACAGGTGTAGTAAACGAGGAATGCCAATTATATCAATAGATTAAATAACGGCGAAAATGAACGTGTTTAATTGCGTGTGAGGTATAGGATATGTTGAGAAGATGGTATATTTCGTATCTTTATATCATTCTAAAACCTATCCGCTTTCATTAAAAAATTTTTTTTTCATGCACGGCGCGTGCGTGTCCACGTATATTACATACTTTTTTATGTTTGTTTATTTCGTGACTCGCGTGGCCTTCGTTACCATTATTTTATTCCAGTAATACAAACTCCTAAAAAGGAAATAGCCAATAAACAACATTGAAGATCCTATTAATAAATTCGAAAGTTTTT